TGCAAATATCTTTTCCCGTTCTGAAAGTTGTCTATTTGCTTTGATTGTTGTGTCTTTAGCTGTGCAGAAGCTTTTCAGTGTATTTAAGTCCCATTTGTTTATTTTCATTGTTGTTTCAACTGCCATGAAAAGTTGTATTCATAAAATCTTTTCCCAGGCTGACATCCTCAAGATTTTTTCCTATACTTTCTTTTAGGATTTTTATTGTTTCATGCCTTAGATTTACATCATTTATCCATCTCAAATCAATTTATTAAGTGGTGAAAGGTGTGGGTCCAGTTTCAGTCTTTTACATGTGGTTATCCAGTTATTCCAGCACCTTTTGCTGAATAGGGATTCTTTTCCCCACCGTATGCTTGTTTGGTTTATCAAAGATCAGAGGGCTAGTAGAGACTGTTTTCATCACTGAATTTTCTGTTTGGTTCCATATGTCTATGTCTCTATTTTTATGCCATTACCATACTGCTTTGATCACTGTGGACTTGTAGTATAGCCTAAAGTTTGGTAGAGTGATGCTTCCAGCTTTGTTTTTATCACTAAAAATTGCCTTGGCTATGGGTTTTTTCTGGTTCCATACAAAACAAAGAACTATTTTTTCTATTTCTTCAAAGTACAATGTTGATATTTTATTTTTTTTTAATTCTATTTATTTATTTATTGTTGAAAAAGAGTTTCACTATGTCACCCTTGGTAGAATGCTATGGTGTCACAGTTCACAGCAACCTCAGACTCTTGGGCTTAAGCGATTCTCTTGCCTCACCCTCCTAAGTAGCTGGGACTACAGGCACCTGACACAACGCTGGGCTACTTTTCTGTTGTAATTGTCATTATTGTTTAGCAGGCCCCTGCCAGGTTTGAACCTGCCAGCCCTGGTATATGTGGCCCATGCCCTCACCACTGAGCTATAGGCACTGAGCCGATCTTGGTATTTTAATGGGGATTGTATTGAATCTGTAGATTGCTTTGGCATGAGTAGGCATTTTAACAATGTTGATTCTTCCCAGCCAGGAGTATGGTATGTTCTTTCCTTTGTTAATGACTTCTGCAATTTCTTTTCTTAGGTTTTCATAGTTCTTTTTGTAGAGTCTTTCTGTTCTTTTGTTAGGTATATTCTAGGTATTCATTTTCTTTGAAGCTACAGTGAAGGGAATTATGTCTTTAATTAGCTTCTCAACTTAGCTATTGGCATATACATAAGCTACTGATTTGTGAACATTGTTTTTATACCCTGAGACCTTATTGTATTTCTTGATTGCTTCCAAGAGTCTTGTGGTTTAATCTCTGGGGTTCTCTAAGTGTATGACCAGATCATGGGCAAAGAGTAAGAGTTTGACATCTTCTGTTCCCATTTGGATGCTATTTTTATCACTCTCTCGCCTGATTACATTGGCTAGAACTTCCAGTACTATACTGAATAGTATTGGCAATAGAGGATGTCTTTGTCTGGTTCCAGATGTAAGTGAAAAGTCTTTCAGTTTTATTCCATTCACTAATATTAGCTGTGGGGTTGGCATAGGTGGCTTTGATCAGTTTAAGAAATGTGCCACCTTTGCCTATATTTTTAAGAGTTCTTGTTAACTCTTATAGTCTTTGTTTTGCTTCTATTGATATGGTGAATTACTTTTGTAGATTTGCATATGTTAAACCAGCCTGGCATCCCTGGGAGGAAGCCTACTTGATTGTGATTGTATAATTTTTTGTAATTTGTAGCATAATCTATTGCCTAAAATATTATTGAGTATTTTTGCAT